CCAGCCTGTCCTATCCAGACAGACCTGAGAGATAATAACATGCACAAAAACAAGACAGAGCAAAACCAAGCAACAAAATAAAACAAAACGACAACAACAAACCAATGACAAAAACCAAAACACAACAACAAGAAAGAAAAGCTTGTAGTTAGTTCAAGGACTGTTTGTTGGCTTTTGGGAGTGTTTTCCAGTTGAGTCTGATGGGGTACCAAGCCCTGGCCCCAAAGTCTATTTTTAGTGTGCCCTGGGGACTTCATTGCTCTGTTCCCCTTGCTGTTCTGTTCCACACCCTTAGTGTTTGCCTCGGTGTGGTGGGATCAGATCAGGTGGAATTCCCTCACTGTGTCTCCAGTGTTGTCCCCTGTAGGGCTATGGGTCAGTGAGGGATGTCGTGTGTCATAGTGGGGCCGGCCATATGGTCCTCTCTGTGGATTGGCTGCTCTGAGCAGGAATATCGTCCTCAAGGCTTGGTGGGCCAGGTTGTGCTCCACTCTCTCTTTCTCTCCCTTCATTTGCTCCCATGTGCTCTGATCAGACATGTCCATATCCCTGGGCTGTAGATTCAGTGCCGTCCTCTGAAATAAATTCTTCTGGGAGGAGGGGAAGGTGTCCACGTAGTTGGGATTGGGAAATCTCCCCTTTTTAAAAATCTCCCTCTTTTAAAAAAACAAGACAATAAGGTGATAACGGCTCAGTAATGGGGACTCTGTTCTTTCCACGGTAGATTTGATGCCAGTGGACAACAAAAGAGCTAGCTTGCCCCCGATGGAAACCCCTCCTTCTCTTTCATCTTCGCTGTCCTCTCCATCCTCCTCTTCCCCGTCTTCTCCAGCCAGCACTCCAGACCCTGCGCCCCATGCCTCCTCCTTACCGCAGGTAAGTGCCCTTCCCGCCTTCCATGCTGACATCTGGACTAGGTCATGGTGAGGGCAAAGCCCAGGCCCGAGAGCAGCTGTGCTGGGGCTCTCTGCTCAGGGCTCCTGCGCCTGGGCCTTTTGTGAAAGCTCATCTTGCTTCTTCTTAGTCCCTCCCAAAGGCATGGCCATGGCCTCAGCAAAGCGTGCGAGCTCTTGAGGCTGGTCGAGACTGAGCTAGACCCTGGGAGGCAGAGGTCCTGGGCCATAGACTATCCTGAAGGAGCTCGCCCAGGGTACTGAGGAGCTCACAGCGGAAGGTTGGCAGACCCAGCATGAGGGCGCCTTTGATAATGTCTCGACAACTACAAGGCTGGATGCCGTTTTCAGATGTGTGCTGATGAAGCTCCCATTACCGGCACCTTATGTTCTAGGCTCTAGGAAGTAGAGCTCACAGCACAGAAAAAGATGAATGTCCTTGAGACGTCGTGTCCTCGTGACATCCCCCACCCGCCCCACCCCCGCCCCCCAGCACCAGAGCTCTCGGTTTGCAGCGGAGACTCCTGCTTTCTCCATGGTGCAAGGCCCAGGCCCCGTCATCAAGACCGTCCGTCATCAACCACGGCTCCAACCCACGAGTCTCCAAGGGGGGGGACCCTGTGTTTCTTTGCAATTGGAGGAATGCGTGGGAATTCGTAGGAATCCCGGCTAAACAAGCTGCAGGGGTAGGGGTGGGGGTGGGGGGTGTTGTCCTCCCTGTGTGTCTAGGGAGCCATGAAGACCAGGCCAGCCCGACCCACACTGGCCCAGGGCCTCAAGAAGGGAGTCAATGCCTTTGCCTTCCTGTCTGCCTTCCGAGCCCCCCAGTTCAGCCTCAGAGAAGCCTTTGCTCCAGAATGACGTCACGGCCCAAGCAGATCCCAGGGCAGTCCCTTAGAACAAAACACGGCCCTTTGGGAATCCTCCTAGGGAAAATGGCTTGGCTCTCAGAAATCCAAAGAAGGGCTTCTTCAGAGGAAAGGCTGAGGAAGGGGGCTGTAAACTGAGATTTAAATACCCCCCCAGTACCACCCCCATAAAAATAATCACCTGGGTCATTAAATCCCCACTATGGTTGTCCATCTCCTGAGTTAACAGCTTGCAACCACCCCTTACAGGTCTCACAAAGTCAGGAAGTCAAGACCTCCAACACAAACTTTCCGGGGCCAACCAGCACCCCAGAACCACCCAAGGAGATCCCCCTCTACTTGCCTCATCATGAAGTCCTGGAGCGGGCAGAATACTGCCTGGTGAGTCCTGGGCACGATGGCCTCCCGAGCCTCAGGCCACGGAACCCAGAGGAGATGGGCTCTGCTGGGTGTCAGGCAGTGCAAGCTGCCTCTGGGAACACGAGAAGCATCCACAGAGGCTTACAGCCCCATGGGGAAAAGGACAGGTGTTGGACAGACAGACCGCGCTCTCTCGAGGCTGCAGAGGACACGGGAGAAAGGAGTACCGGACCAAGGAGGGAAGAGGGAGGGCCGGAGATGGCAGAGGAGAAGAAGTCAGGCTTAAAAAAGCTCGTCCTCACCCCGGAGCAGAAGAGCAAGCTGCTGGATTGGAATGACGCCATCCCAGCGAACTTGCGGCCTGACTCTGGGGAGCAACCTTCCCAGAGAAGTCTGGAGTGTGGGAAAGGAGGCCGGGTCCTGAAACCGGTCCGTCCCTTGACGCTTCCTCAGGCAACTAGAGAGACACTGCCATCCCACAGGCACACCGAGGAAAAGGTGGGCGCCCCGGCTGAACAGGCTTCTCCGGGAGAGCGAAGCCCAGCCCCGCCAAAGTCCCCTCTGCGCCTCATTGCAAATGCCATCCGAAGGTCCCTGGAGCCCCTGCTCCCCAACTCCGAAGGTGGGAGGAAGGTCTGGGCCAAGTCGAAATCGAAGACTCTGCCCACCGGCCAGCCTCCCCCTTGTGCTCGCTCACAGAGCCTGCGGAAAACCATCTCCAATAAAAACTGGTACCAGCAGTCCCAAGGGAGAGACACAGCGGGTAGGGCCTCCTCCTTCTTGTCCCCGGGAACCCCTGTGTCCCGGGCTGCCCAGCCCTCCGAGCCAAGCCCTCCTGGCCCAGTCCTGCGCACCCACAGCTTACCCAACCGTCCATCCAAGGTCCTCCCTGTGTACTCACCCGGCAGCAAGATGGAAGATGTCCCCACGCTCCTGGAGAAAGTGAGCTTGCAGGAGACCTCGCCAGATGCTTCAAGGGCACCTAACCTAAGACCCTCCCTCTTTTCCTCCCTGAGACTCAAAGACAGACCTTTTGAGAATTTCCTCCAAGAATCCAGACGAAGAATGGACCTTCGAGACCTCTTTAGCAGCCCTAAAGACAAGATAGTGCCCACAGACAAAGCCCACCCCCTGGAGATTGTGGGGCAGCCTCTCAGTCAGACTCCCCTGGGGCCGATGGGCCAGCCTCCTTCTGCAAGAGACTCAAGTAAGTGGCTCTTTCCTAATAAAAGTCGAAATTCCTAGTGGGCAGTTTGTCGTTACCGATAGATTCATAAGCAGCCATTTCCCACTGCATTTTACCTATTGCTAGCCTTACACACCATTTAGTTCAACATGTAAGACAATTCCCTTTTGGTTGCCTACGCCTGTTCGATTGTTTTAAAGTAGGTCCCCACATTTCTCACCACCATCAAGCTGATGCCAGCTCACAGCAGCCCTGGAGGACGGGGTAGAACTGCCCCTGTGGGTGTCTGAGACTGAACCCTTATGGGAGTAAACAGCTTCATTTGTCTTCCCTTGGAGCGGCTGGTGGCTTCAAATTGCTGACCTTGTGATCAGCAGCCCGCTCATCACCACTGCGTCACCAGGGTCCGGTCCCACATTTAGATTTCAAGTGAAACATGATTTACCTTCTTGGGTATCTGTCCCAGATTGAATTATAGCCCACTCCACCCCAATCAAACCGTGTCAGCTTGGCAGGGCTGTGGTTCTCAGAGATTGGGCAGTTTTGTAATGATTTGATTTGGCAGCTATATGATCACCCCCCATGGAATGATCTGATGTGATCAGCCCTGATCTAATATCAGGGTATATGGGTAGAATGCAACACCTGTCATCAGGTTACAGCCATAATTCAATGCAAGGGGAGTTTCCCTGGACCCGCCTGCATCCTCTTTCACCCTCTACGACGTAAAAGGAGAGATACAAAGAGAGTGATCTACTACTGTGAAAAAAGAAGAGCTGACAGGCTTGTCTCCTCCCCAAGATGCAGCAACGATGAAGCATACAACTTTCCTCTAGTTCCTAACTGCTTCCTCCTCACCCACTGTCATGATCCCAATTCCACCTTACAAATCTCACTAGGCCAGCGGGCATACACTGGTACAGATAGGACCTGGAAACACAGGGAATCCAGGACAGATGATCCCTTTAGGACCAGTGGTGTGAGTGGCGATACTGGGAGGATGGAGGAAGTGTGGGTTGGAAAGGGGGAACCGATTACAAGGATCTACATGTGACCTCCTCCCTGGGGGACGGACAACCAAAAAGTGGGTGAAGGGAGACGTCAGATAGTGCAAGATATGACAAAATAATAATTTGTAAATTATCAAGGGTTCATGAGGGAAGGGGGAGCGGGGAGGGAGGGGAAAAATGAGCTGATGCCAGGGGCTTGAGTGGAGAGTGGATATTTTGAGAATGATGAGGGCAATGAATGTACAAATGTGCTTTACCCAATTGATGTATGTATGGATTGTGATAAGAGTTGTATGAGCCCCTAATAAAATGATTTTTTTTTTAAAAAGAAAAAGCCTGGAGCAGAACATGTCCTTTGGACCCAGGGTCCCTGAGCTGGGACCCTCCTGGAATCAAGAGGCAGAGAAAAAGCCTTCCCCTGGAGCCAGCACTCTGAATTGAGATGCCTAGCCTCCTACGTTCTGTCTGTTGGAGCCATCCACTGTCTTAACGACCTAATGCTACTATGTCCTGTCATATGACAGTGCCTTAATTGAAAAGCCCTATTTCTAAGTATTTGATATTTCTATGTGATTGCAAGTGATATTGCTTTCACTGCCACAGATTTTTAGCCTTTTTCATTGTCCACACCCCATTCCTATGTATGCCAAGCGAAGGGTTTAGATTTGGGGGTGGGGAAAATACATCACTATGGCTAAAGACTTGTCCGGCCATTGAGGGAATGGACTGAAAACCTGTCTTTACTTACAGCAAAAAACGGACCAGGGAACCCTTCTCTGATGTCCCAGAGGTCCCTCGCCTCAAAATTTTTATTGTGGTATGAATATGTTGCTGTTGGTTTGTTGTTGTTGTTGTTAAGTATAATCTAATTGAGGCAGTTCTGACCCATAGTGGCCCTATGTACAACAGAACAAAGCACTGTCCAGTTCAGCGCCATTCTCAAAATTGTTATTATGTCCAAGCCCATGATTGCAACCACTCTGTCATTCCATCTTGCTGAGGGTCTCCCTTTGCTTCGCTGCCCCTCCACTTTACCACTCATGCTGTTCTGCCCCAGGTATCGATCCCCCCTGACAACATACATGTCCAAAATCCTTGAGACGAAAATCTTGCATCCTTTCTTCTAGGGATCTTTCTGTGCTTCTTCTAAGACAGATTGATTGGTTCTTTTGGCAGTCCATGGTACTCTCAGTGTTCTTCACCAGCACCCTAGTTCAAGTGCATCGAGTTTTCTTTGGTCTTCCTTATTCATTGTCCAACTTTCATGTGCATGAGGTGATTGAAAATAATCATGGCTTGGGTCAGACACTTTCCCCCCAAGGTAACATCTTTTTCAGCATCTTAAAGAGGTCTTACGCAGCAGATTTACCCAATGTAGTGGGTCGCTTGGTCTCTCGATTGCTGCTTCCATGAGCATTGATTGTGAGTCCAAGCAAGGTGAAGTTTTTCACAATTTCAATCTTTTGTCCATTTATCATGATGTTACCTGTGAGAGATTTTGCTTCTTTCCATTGAGCTGTAATCCATATTGAAGGCTGCAGTCTTTGATCTTCATCAGCAAGTGCTTCAAGCTCTTTACTTTCATCAAGCAAAGGGTGTGTCTTCTGCATTTCACAGGTTATTAGTAAGCCTTCCTCCAATCCAGCTTCTCTGATGATTTGCTCAGTAGACAGTAAACAACTGAATAAGTATGCTGAGAGGATGCAACTCTGCTGTCCACCTGTCCTGACTAATCTACGCGGTACCCCTTCTTCTTTTGGTTTGCACAACTGTCTCTTGATCTACGTACAGGTTCCGCATGAGCACAAGGAGGTGTTCTGGAACTCCTGCTCTTCCCAAGGATACCCATAGTTTGCTATGATCCACACAGTCGAATGCCTTTCCATAATCAATATGTGTTTACCACAAGTAAACATCTTTCTGGTATTCTTGGCGTTGAGCCTAGATCCATCTGACATTAGCAATGTTATCCCTTGTTCCACATCCTCTTCTGAATCCGACCTGAATTTCTGGCAGCTCCCTGTCAATGTACTGATGTTCTTTAGCACAATTTTACTTGCATATGATATCAGTTTTAATTTGCACGTTCTGTTGGGCCACCTTCCTGTGAAACGGGTACAAATATGGATTTCTTCCAGTCAGTTGGCCAAGACGTCTTCCAAATTTCCTGGCATAGACAAGTGAGTGCTTCCAGTGCTTCACCAGCCTGTGGAAACATTTCAGTTGGTGTTCTCTCAATCCCTGGAGCCTGGTTTTTGGCTAATACCTTCAGTGCAGCTTGGACTTCTTCCTTCATGCCACTGGCTCATGATCATTGGCTACTCTTGAAATGGTTGGATGTCAACTAATTCTTTTTGGTACAATGACTCTGTGTGTTTTTCCAGCTTCAGTTTATACTTCCTGCATCACTCAATATTTTGTCCATAGAATCTTTCAATATTTCAACTTGAAGCTTGAGCTTTTTCTTGAGTTCTTTCAGTTTAAGATATGCTGAGCAAGTTCTTCCCTTTTGGTTTTCTAACACTAGGTCCTTGCACCTTTCATTACAATACTGTGTTCTCAAGCCATCCTTTGAACTGGTCTGTTCAGCATTTGTACTTCATCAATTTTTCCGTTGGCCTAAGCAACTCTACAATTAAGAGCGAGTTTCAGAGTCTCTTCTGTCTCCTAGTTAGATCTTTTCTTTCCCTCCTGTCTTTAATGATCTTGTCCTTTCTTCATGTTCAATGTTCTTAATTTCTTCCCATCTCTCTTCAGGTCCTCTGTCATTGTTGGTCAGTGGGTCAAATCTGTTCTTGAGATGTTCTCGAAACTCAGGTGGCATAGAGTACAGGTTATATTTTGGGTCTCATGGATGTATTTTCATTTTCTTCCGTTTCAACCTGAACTGACATATGAGCAATTGATGGTCTGTTCCAGAGTAGGCCCCTGGCCTCAATTTAGCCACAGATGTGAAAATATATTGAACAAAAATTGCCATCTGAAGTATACAAATCAGTTACATTCATTGTATTACCATGTTAAATAAGAATACCACTATCACCACTGGCATTTGTGTTTCATCACCCCAAACAGAAACTCAGTGCCCCTTAAGCAATACCTCTTATTTCTTCTTCTCCTAGTCCCTGGAAACACACTTTTCACTGTATGTATTTTCCTATTCTATTTCATATCACCAAGATCATGTATTTGTCCATTATAGCTAGAAGCAAAGAAAATACTTGCCAATGACCACTGCTGTGTGGCACATTCTGAGCTCTCACTCTCATTGTGAGCGGTATTGGTCTTGATCTAGAAGTAGGGAAATTGAAACTCGGAAAGATCTAAATGACTTTCATGTCATCAACAAGTAAGTAGGAAAGCCAAAATTTGTCCTCAGATTCCTCTGCCCTAACGTTTACTATTGAGTTGCTTTTGCTAATAGGTGAGAAGTCATGTGTAAGGTCATTAAAAATATTCTATAAATCTATTTACTGTCTCCCCAATTGGCCTCTGTATGTAATGTAGCGTTTTTCTTTACCTGACTTGATTCTTTCTCGATCTTTGTTTTTCAACAATGTATTATGATGAATATTCCTATGATTTGATTGGTTTATCCTGCTTATGGTTTGTTAAGCGTTTTGGATCTATGCTTATATCGTTGCATTAAAATCGGGTAGTTGTCAGCAACTGTAACTTCAACTATTTTTCTCTTCCCATGTCCTTTTCTGGTGCTCCAATCACCAATTTTTAGGCCAATTGTTTCACAGGTCATTAAGGCTGTGTTCATTTTTTTAATTATTATTAAATACTTTTATTGGAGGCTCTTACATCTCGTATCACAATCCATGCATTCATCCATTGTGTCAAGCACGTTTGTACATCTGTTGGCATCATTTTCAAAGCATTTTCTTTCTACTTGAGCCCTTGGTATCAGCTCCTCATTTCCCCCCCTTTCTCCCCAACCCTTCCTCCCTCATGAACCCTTGATAAGTTATAGATTATTATTTTCATATCTTACATCGTCCTCTGTCACCCTTCACCCACTTTTCTGTTGTTTGTCCCCCTGGGAGGGGCTTATATGTTGACTATTGTGATCATGTTACTATTTTTATATCCTTGAACGTGTTTAGAAGAGTTACCTTTAAATCTTTATGTGCTAATCCTATTGTTTCTGTCATTTCTAGGTCTGTTTCTATTGACTGATTTTTCTCTTGAATACCAGGTTCTTTGTGCTACTCTTTTTTTGGGGGGGGGGGCAAGTGAGACGTAAAGACATTAGCCTATTTTTAATTGCTTACTGACTGCTCTACTTGTGAACATTACATCTTAGAGCACATCTAGACTTTGTTTCTTCTGTTCGATATGTTTCATAAGGTGGCAAAAATGGTTGGCTGTCAGGAAAGTAAACTGCAGACTAGTTCATTCATTTCAAAGTCTTTCTTTTAAGCTTTGTTCAGGTAAGTCTAGAACGACCTGTGCTCTAGGGTCTGTTTATCCTCACGAGTGAAGTGTGGCATTTCTATGGTCTCTCCTAATGCCTTTGTGCTTTCTACCGACTGCGTTAAACCACAGTCACTCCAAGCCCTGTGTGAGCTGGCGTCTGTAACATGGAGTTACACTTTATGGATGTATAGCTTACCATTAAGAAATAGGCTCAAGGGCACTCATAGACATATATTCCTAGATTATTTTTCTGCATAGATCTTCCTCTTCTTTACCCTGCCACACAGCTCCCAGCTGCCTTCTCAAAATTCTGATTTCTATCTGCTTGAGCCAGTGAATCTGCTGTGCTGTGATTGAGTTAGTCTTCCCTGCACTGTGATCTTCAAAATGCCTCTAGGCAGAAAGCTAGGGTGTCTGTGATGCTTACCTCATATGCTCTGTTGTTTTCTTGATCAGAGTTTGGCACCGTCTGTTGTCCAATGTTTGGAAAGAGCTGCTTCATATATTTTGTCCAGACTTTTTGTTCTTTGCGTTGAGAGACAAATTCTAGTATCAGTCCCCCCAGCATGGCCAGAGTGGGAAAACACTGCAGAATTGTGTTTATTTCTCTTCATTTTTAATCTTGCAAAGGAAACGCGAACTGAGGCTCACGGTTGCACGGTGGGAAAGGTGGAGAGGAAGAAACTTAGAGGCCACGAATTTCACTTCTTTCCTGCATGCAATTTGAGAAATACCTTCTTTTGCGTGAAACTCAATATAAACATAAGATTTGTTTATGAGCTCATTAAGGAAAGTACCAGTGTTAGATGAGTATACCAAGTCTATTAAATGGAGGTTGATTATGAAATTTTCTAGTAACTCTGAGATCAAAAGCTGCAATATTATTCCTTTGGGCCAAGGCTGTGAAAAAATGAAGATGATGGTGAGAATGACAACGTCTAGTAAGCACCTCCAGACTGCCAGGCACTGTGCTAAGGAAGCACTTTGCAGTCATCATATTTCTCCTTCTCAAACAATTCTGCAAGTTAGAAAGCATGATCCCCAGGAAGGTAAAGTGAGCTCCTTTATCACCCAATCAACAATCATACAATTAACATCATTCAATTAAACGCATTCGATTAACAAATGGGCACTCAGTGGCTAGATTTTCCAAGTGGCCGTTGGAGTTCACTCCAGTTCATCGCGAGCCCTTACAGGTTGGAGTGGGACTGTGCTCAACAGAGTCCTTTCATCTGGGGGAGTGGATCACCAGAGGGTTGCTTTTGTGAGAAGTAGGCTGTCAGGCCTTTTTGCCCAAGGAGTCTCTAGATCAGTGGTTCTCAACCCTCCTAATGCCGTGACCCTTTCATACAGTTCCTCATGTGGTGGTGACCCCCCAAGCATCACATTGTTTTCGTTGCTACTTCATCACGGTCATTTTGCTACTGTTATGAATTGATCTACCCGTGTGAAAGAGTCGTTCGACCCCCAAAGGGGTCGCGACCCACAGGTTGAGAACCGCTGCTCTTGATGGCCTGGCACTTCCAGCCTGTCGATCAGCAGCTGAGCATGCTAACTGCTTGCACCGGTTAACCCAGGGGACTCTTGGTGGCAAAACCACTGAGTGGTAATTGAGCCATGAGCTGAGAAGCACTCTGGGTTCCGACTAACCAGATCCCCTCCCATTGTTCCACTGCTCTCTGACTGTCTCTACCTGACTTTCCCAGCCTGCAAATTAAAGTGGGAAACACTTAGTCCCCTCCCTAGAGAGGCTGTGGTGTTATATACATGTCAGGCATTATTTTGCTTTGAAAACAGCATATGTAAATGTGCTCCTGGAGGTTCAAATTACTGTTTTGGGTTTTTTTTTTGTTTTGTTCCCGTTTTTAAATCTGGCCTCTCCCACTTGGGTAAGTAGTTGGAAAATACAGGGAGAAAAACAGGCTGGAGAGAATGGTAGCGCTGGCTGCTTCACCTGCCACCCTCCAACCCATATTTCCATTCAGATGGAAGCTGCCTTGTGAGAAAGGATTGCTAAATTCCCGATCATAGAGACCTAGCCTTTTGTGCTCATCCAGGTCCAGAGTGGGTTAATCCCGTAGGCTAATCATTAACTCTGCATCAGGTGGATGTGTAGGGACAGATGTTCTTGCTGAGACAAATAAGAGCCTCCTGTGGTCCCTGGAAGACCTTATCCCACATGGTCCCCAACCAGTTCACAGAGAGATTCTGCTTGACACGGCACTGTGCTGGCCGAACAGCCTCCCAGTCGGAGGCTGGTATTTCCCCTGGACACTTGCTCTCCCATGGGCCCTGCATTGTAGAGCACCCCTATCTTAAACGGCCATTCCTAGCATTTGAATCATCACTTCGATGATGTGATAATATCTGCAAGTTGGGAAAATAAAAGTGGCATTTGTTTAGCCATAATTAATGAAATATTTATGTTGCATGAGACTATGTGATAAAACCTGAGGCTTAAAGTCCTTTTGCTTCTGATTACATTTGGGATTTTTTCCCCCCTATGACCAGACATTCTGACGCCAGCTCTTTTACACTGAGCAGATGTCATGTAGTAAAAATGGGTGCCAGATGCTGTGAGCCGCAGAAGGGCGATTTGTTTAAGAGCTGGTTCCAACTCCCCCCCTCCCCTTGCATTCAATTACTCTGCAGAGTGAGCCTTACACAAGCATTTAGGTAACTCAGCTAACTTCAGACATGCATTTCAATAATAGATTTCATCTCTGAATGTATTCTAAGCAACACACCATATAAATGGTGTTTAAAGAATTAATTGATTTCTGCATAATACCTTGGGTTTTTTGCTGCTGTTGTTGGGGTTTTTTTTAATATGAAAAGAGGGCTGCAAAGCTCTTGGCAAGAACCCAGAAATGTAATTAATGTGAAGAGCCAAATTTCCAGTTGCCCTTAGGTACTGCCTTCTCATGCTCACGGCAGGTGCAGTGCGGGCGGGCAGCAAGGAGCGGGGTGGGGGCTGAAGGGGGAGAGGGAGAGGGAGTCCTGGTTTACAAAGCAGAGAACGTATCTAGCCGTTCAGCAAGTGTTTCTGTTCCCATTTCAGGGCCCAAGCACATCCCCGTTCAAGCACAGGCCACAGAGCGCGCCTCCTCCCTCTCCTCCACCTCCTCCTCCTCTGCGGATGAAGAACTCGATCCCCAGCCTGCCTTGCGGTCAAAGGTAACAGCACCTGACAAAGAACGTGGCCCTTGGCTACCAGGGGCCATTTACCATCCAGGTTTCAGACTCAGTGTGGACTCCAGCTGTGGTGCCTTCAAAGTGGGGTGGGGGGTCACGTTTCATTCCTTATGACAGCAGCCTTCCTTGCTACCGGGAACACCCCATGAACTATCTTTTTCCCCCTTTTAGCTCTTAGAGGCTTGCCTTTCTCAGAGACTCAGAGTGGGAAGGAAAAAAACCAACAAACTCAGTCATAATCATTTGAAACCATTTGGTGACTGCGACTCTTAAGAGTAGGTTTACTGTGGAGTCCAATAAGCAACGCGTCAAAAAATTGAACAAACAGACGCAGGTTTCCCCGGGGAAAGCACAGCTTCAGTTAAGAAGCACAAGAGGCAGATTGCATGGAAAATGTTATGTTTGTTCTCATCAGCAGTGTGAAATGAGCCATGCTGTTGCATTTAGCCATGGAAAGTTGGAGGGCCCTTATCATGGGGACGTCTCTGGCCAAGAGAGCCACTACTCTCCTCTTTGCTGAGTGGACACTCCTCTTTCTGGAAAACACTTTCCACAACTCTCATATCTATAAAGTAAACAAGCAAAAAAACAATGAACTCATTGCCGCCAATGTATAGCGACCCTATAGGGCAGGATAGAATTGCTCCTGCGGGTATCTGAGACTCGCTCTCTCGGAGTGGAAAGCCTCATCTTTCTCCCTCAGAGCAGCTGTGGTTTGGGTACCGCACGCCTTGTGGTTTGCAGCCCACACATCCTGACATGTTGTAAAGGTGTCTGGGTGACATACCCTTGGAGACACACACCCCCATCTTTTTCTCCCCTGGGATGGAGGGGTGAATGATCATCGGAGTCTTTTCCGGGCTGCACTGTGCTGGCAGGGTTTATTGGTTGGATCAGTGCAGGTCTGCGGGGGATTGAATTGATTTAGACTCAACGTTTCCATATCTGGCGTTTGGAACTTTGACATCCTCCCAAGGCACTCAGGGATTCCCACTCCCCACAGTCCAGCCTGGACGAAGTCAGGAGGGCTGGGATGTGGCCTGGGGGTGGTGGAGTGTGCTCGTGGGAGAGTGAACTGAAATTTAAAATCAGATAAGTGTGCAGAAAGGATGCCCAACATCTAACCACTTGGTCAGCAGTTCGAAACCACTAGCTGCTCTGCCAGAGAATAATGAGGTTTCCTATTCCCCTAAAGATTTAGAGTCTCTGAAATGCACAGGGGCAGTATTGCCCCATCCTATAGGGTCTATATGAGTCAGAATAGACAGGATGACAGTGAGTGAGTGAGTGAGTGAGTAAGTGAGTGAGTGAGTGAGTGAGTGAGTGAGTGAGTGAGTGAGTGAGTGAGTGATGTGTTCGGAGTTGCATCTACCAGCACTGAACTGATACCCTGTCCAAACATCTGACACCATCGTGTAGAGACCTTTACCATCAGATCAGCTCCAAAGTCCAAGTCAGACTTGTTAACCTTTTACTTAACACATGTTGGCACTGCAGGAAAACTACACCTGCACCAAGCTGCTTTCACTGATGAAAATGGTACATGGTCATTTTCCCCGGTCTCTCCTTTGCTACACTCAGCAGAGCAATCGCAGACCTCCTGGGCAGCGGCAGAGCTGGAGGCCCCCTGGACCAGAATCCACCTCCCTGGCTTCGGAAAGGCACACCTCTGACCCGGCCTGCATCTGCAGCTCCCAGGGCCTGCTTCAGGCCCAGGCCACCGGTAGTCATCCCTTAAGGAGGTGGGGGGAAGCGCAGAGCGGCCCTTTGGGAATCAGGAAGAGCAGGGTGGCACCCAGCGAGCATGGGGACTGGCCAGCGACGCCGCAGGACCCCGCGGGGACAGCCGACCACCCAAAGGGGAAGCAGGAAGGACGATCGGAACCTACAGGGATCAAAAAGCAGTGGGCTGTTTTTCCAAGTCGGCTGGGCTCGCGAGAGAGGACTGCACGAAGACACTGCCCACACACAGAACGGGCTGCGGCGCCACCTGCTCGCTGACCGCTGGCCGCTTCCCACTGCTTCAGCTGGGAGAGAAGTCTGCACGCAGATAGAGGGGGCGGGGAGCTCAAAAAGTCTTGGGAAATGGAATTACGAGATCATGGTCTTTTCCCAGACATTTGGAAGGAAGCCTTCTGAAATGCACACTCAGGCGAGGACTGCTCCGGGAGTCCGGCTGCCCCCGCTTTATGAAAGCTCGCTTTACGGCGACTCGTTAATCGAAAGAAATGGAGGTGGTGGGGGGGACGCGGTTTCCACTGCTCCGGAAAGCAGACCACATACGTTTTGCAGCGAGCCCCGCCCGCGGCCCTGCCCCCGGGCTCCGGCCCCCGGCAGCGAGCTGCCCTGGCTGTGCTGTGCGTGGGCACAGCGTGTTCTCTGGTGTGTGGTAGTCGGCATGCGTTCCTTAGGTTTCTCGGGTGGGAAATACCTGGGCTTCGCACGCGAAAGAATTCACGCCGAAGCGTGGTTTGGGATCCAAGTGGGTTTTTATAAGGGACAGAAGAAGTTCCAGGTTTTACAGTCACTGAACACGGGCCACCTCGGGGGACTGCGTACCCACACGTGGCAGCCTGAGGCCCGAGAGACTGCTCTACCAGGCTGTGGGGCACAGGACAGGAACCCAAGGTGAAGAAGGAGGGGGCGAAGGGCAGGGGGTGGGGGCGTGTCATGGTCACGGTATCTGAGGCCTCTCTCTGGCTGGGAGTGTGGTAGAAGGTATTGGTTGACCCGTTGGCTGAACTAAGCCCACTGGGCCTAATTTGGACCGCCCAGGTGTACCACCCACCTGGCTCGGGTTTGGGTTGGCGCATGCCCAGTAGTCTTTATGGCTGGCTAAGGGCTCATCTGATTCTCTTCCAACCTCCCGTAGGAGAGGCCTCCAGGCATGGAGAGGGACAACCCCCTGTCCCTGTTTCTTCCTACCTGACCATGTGACAGGTTCTTGGGAGGCAGTGGAGGGGCTAGGAATGCTCAAAATTTCCCTCCGTAAAAACGAACGGCCATTGTGTCTTCGAATTTACACCGGCTCGGTCTCTAAGTTTCACGGGAGCATGCATCTTTCAGAAAGCGGGACACCCTGTACTCGTTGTACCTGGGCTGAGCGAGCCCTCCCAAGAGCTGACCACAGAAACAGGTGGTTCGAAGAAACTACCCATGAGTGCGCTTCCAGGAGCCCCTGGGGCCTTGCCACCCCTCCCCTGCGTCAGACACACCTGTGTGAGAGCGTGAGCGGTTGTGTGCAGATTTAAGTTCCTAAACAGGGGCCTCTGATTCATTCAGTCCTCAGCACAGATGAGCAGTGTGTGCTCTGAGGATTTTGCAGTGGCCCCTCTCATCCTGTATCCAGATGAAGCAAGGGCCCTGCATCAGCTCCCGTCACACCTGGAAGACGAAAGTGCAGAGGGGCCAGCTCCATGACCAGTGAGACTGCCACAAATCAAGCCACCCTGCCCGTATAGCAAGGGGACCTGGAACCTCCCCCGTCCCCAGGTGGTAAAGAAGACGTCTTCGTGCCCCCATCCTCAACTCCTGCTCAGGCCTGTTCGCTCTCCAGGCTGGGAAGCTGGCGAGAAGTTTATCCATCAGGACTTCCCAAGGGTTCCCATGTAGGAAGGAGAACTCTTTGTCCTCTGGTTTCTTTGTCACACCTGCCATGCAGGTGTGGCCCCAGCCACCTGGCGGAGAGCCCACGCCAGCTCACAGGAACCCTTTGGCCAGGAAATTGGAGCCAAGATGTAGTCTCTCTGCCTCTCCCTTTGCTGTGCCTCCCCTCCCGGGCTCACACCTGGATGGAAGCGATGGAGCCAGGCAGAGGCAGGTGGGTTGTTAAGGGGCAGCCAAATTTCTACCTTCTCCTTTAAGGATTCTCCCTTCACCCCTCTTCTGCCCTGTCTCTGTCATCATCCGCATCACCGAGGATGGCAGAACTATGCCTGGCAGGTCCTAAATCATCCTTCTTTTCTACGTCAATACCTTTTCATAGAAGGCCATGCATGGCTTCCTTTCCTGCCATGGATTCTGTTGCCTAAAGCAGCCAAGTCGGATGGTTTTGCTGCTAGAAAGCGCTGGAGTCCAGTGCTGACACAGACCGACACACAACACACGCTACGGCACCCTTTTGAAACTGCGTCCGTGGTCTTTCTTTGGGGAAGAAACGTTGACGTGTCTTTCTAGGAGACCCCCGCAAGAGTGGGGGGCCTCGCTGTGCCTGAACAGTAGCTGGCACACGGCTGAGGTGGTGTAGACGGGTTGAAAGCGTGGGTGAATCCCGGAGTCAGGTGGCCCAGGATCAAAGCCTGGCCTTCCCCTTACAGGAGAAGCCTGGCCCTCGACGCCAATCAGTTCTAGAAGGAGCGTCGAGATGGGATGCAGTCAAATTCTGAATCAATTTTTCCCATAAGAAATAACTGAAACGGATTAATCCGTTCTCTACCTCCAAGTTTTTCCCCTAACCTTGCCTTTTTATACGAAACATGACAGAAAATTCAAAGTAAATAAGTTCAGCATTTAATAATATCATTTAAATAAGAAACATAACATTAAAAAAGTTTTTAACAACTACAGTCCGGCCCATACCTTGAGATTGAGGAGGCTCTGGATCTGTGGACACGGATGTGGAGAGGCTATACTGTATGGAGAGAGTCACTGTTTGGAAGGGAAATCCCCTCTCATAAAATCAACTGGGAGCTGCTTTTCAGGAGTTTTTCCCCTTCTTTGCCTGTTTGCACTCAGCCCTGGCTTGCTCCCCCCACCTCCACATCTGTCTAATGTGGGCTGCTGTTGGCGTTTCCTTAACTGTTTTCTAAAAGGGCTTACTAAATTATCATCAACAATATCTCTTTCTTAGGACCCATGTTTTTATCTAAAAACAGTATTAAGAAGCCACAAAAGCTAAGGAAATTAAAGCAAAACACTTGGAACACAGCTGCAAAAGGTTTAAACAATGCGTACTAACAACACCAACTAATGCCGAGTGACTGAAACATGAACTGCTTTTGTTTACAAAAAGCATGTGCGTCATGTCGTCTGATGTTTTGTTCAAGCTCCAATGCAAAATTTTCTTGACATGTCCCATCAAAATCTCATTATGTCGAGTCTTGATGAGGCCGAGAACTGGGGTTCTACCGTACTCCCGTGCTATGTCCAGAAAGTCATTTCAGTCCCCGAGCTCTGATTTCCTTCTCCAAGAAGTGAATGTGATAGAGAAATTAACGGCATGGTGTCTGCAAAGTCCCCAGCGCCGTGTCTGACACATGCCACTGTCGTGATGAAGTGCGTTGAGTTGAGTGTCAACTCTTCCTGGGCCCCCGAAGCAGAGTGGAACTGCCCCATAGCGTTTTCTAGGTTGCAGCCTATAGAAACAGATAGGTAAGTTCAAAACACCAGCCTCTTGGGTTGGCGCCCAACCACGCAAGTGTGGTGGCCCCTTTAGCGTCATTCGTATGGTGTCTGGCACATTTGAAAACAAAGAAACAAACTCCAAAACCAAACTCACTGCCATTGAGTCCATGCCGACTCACAATGACCTTGTCAGACTGAGCAGAACTGCCCCTGGGAGTGTCTGAGACTGTAACTGTCTATGGAGGAGAAAGCCTCCTCTGTCCAATGAACAACCACGGAACTGCTGAATAACTCCCAACACCACAGGCTGGTATAAGAGGACAGGAAGAGGGAGAGGGAGAGAGACGAGGGGAGGGGAGGCGGGAGAGAGAATATGAAATAGAGAAACTGATTGTTCACGTAGATGGAGTCAGTTTCTGGAGAACAGCTACCTTTGCACCGCCCCCCACCCCCAAACCCTTTCCCCAGAGGTCTTGGCTGGTGAATGATGGGGTTCCCTCCTCTAAAAGCCTCCACGAAGAGGGTTTGAAGAGCTAGAAGTCACCCCTAAACAGAGATAAGGTATGCTATGGAATAAGCTTAAGTTCTGAGCCACAAAATTTTCTCCCAAGGATATAAAAGATGCTTAGGGTTCTAAATCCTAAGAAGAATTCTTTTTTTTTAATTTTTAAAGTTTTATCTTTTAATGTCTTCACTGATTTTCTGCAGAGGTTGCTACCCTAAAGAGTGTGACCGTCTCTCTCGCCACTCCTGGGAGTGGACAAGATGACAGGGATTCATAAAGCCCTGGAAACCACCATGCTTTTAAAGCACACGCTTTGTTATGAGCCCGATTCCTCTGGTGTATCTGGGACCAGCGTATTATATCTTTATTCCCCCTCATACCATGTATGGTCTGTCGAGCGAGTCAGGATTCCGTTGAACTGCAGTGACTGGATTCTCAGGGACTGGGCTAGTTGTAACATTTTTTTTTAATTACATATTTGTTTCTCCTAGCATTAAAGTAAGTCCCTAACATGTTCTAATTTTCATCCTAATATGTAGAAAGCCGATGCTTATGCTCAGAGAAAACAAACTCACAGTAATAACCCAATTTGAAAAACATTCATGTACAAGAGATTATATATAATTTGAGGGGACTTCAAAAAGTTCATAGATACAAGTGTGCTTAATATAATTGAATGATGGATTGTTAGAAGATTTGTAAGAGCTCCCAATAAAAGGATTAATAATAATAATAATAAATTATAGAAAGCTATTTCCCCCAAATTTCTGAGGCCCCCCCTATATATGTATATATTATATATCATATAGTTTATATAAAATTGTATACATGTATTATATAAAACCTACTGCTTTAGTGACCTTATATAGGGTTTCCACGACTGTAAATCTTTACAGGAGCAGACTGCCTCAACTTTCTCCTATGGCGCAACTTGTGAGTTTGAACCAACAACCTTGTGGTTAGCAGCCCCAAACCTCTAATATATATATTCAAACTGATATGTATTTATTCAAAATTTATACATATATTCAAATTAAAAGAGAGTACAATTTTCGATTATATAATATACATATGTATACCAAAGGGCTTCTAAAAAGTGTATGGAAAAATTCCATTTTAATTCAATTTTTCTACAAATTTTTTGAAGCTTCCTCACATCTATGTCTTTACATTATATAATATACACAAACAGATTATATAATATAGCATTATATGATATATTGCATATAATATTACATGATACATACTACATAATTATGAAATTTTATATAATGCACATGCATACACTTTTGAAGCTCCCTGATCTATGTATGAACATATATTATATACATTACTCCACACACAAATATTTGGAAGGACTATCATCAATTTCAGTAAAAAAATCATAATAATCATGCTCATATTTTCTCCATTTCAACTTCAAGCCTCCTGTGATGGGCTTGACCTGCATTGTCAAATTTGAGCCTTCTTACACATTCCTACGAGTCAGGCACTAAGTCACCGTGGTGGCTCTCAAGAATTGGTTGAACTTGTGCGGTGCGCCCACACTCAAGCAGCGCAGCTGGGCCCAGTGCTTAAGCAGGACTTTCTACTGCTCCCCCGTCAGCTGTGGCTCTGGAACCTTCCACCGTACTGATTTGGCCACCCAATGACCCCCTTCTCTGCTGTCCAGAGTCTGGAAGTGGCAGTGCCACTTGGATTCATGCATATATTTTGCATGCATCAATTTGGAATAGCCCCTTCCTTCCTTCCTTCCTTCCTTCCTTCCTTTTGAAAATCTTTCCTGCAAGTCCAGGCACGCGCTGACCTCAGTGGTGGATTTACACAGCCGTGCGACCCGGGGAAAGGACGTCATCTCGAGCTTATCTCAAGTCGAGAAACACTTTCACTTGAATCATGTCAATGGTTCCTTTTCTCCAGGTCTAGTCAGCAACATAGTCCCAATCTACGGGCTATTTAAAGTTCCTAACGGAGGGGTGCGTGTGCGTGTGCGTGCGTGCGTGTGTGTGTGTGTGTGTGTGTGTGTGTGAGCGTGTCCTGTCATCCCTGGACTTCATGGTGTGTCATAGCGTATCCCTTCCTCTGTGTGTGTGTGCGTGTGTGTGTGTGTGTGTCCTGTCATCCCTGGACTTCATGGTGTGTCATAGCGTATCCCTTCCTCTGTGTGTGTGTGTGTGTGTGTGTCCTGTCATCCCTGGACTTCATGGTGTGTCATAGCGTATCCCTTCCTCCAACTGAATCAAGCCAGTTCTCTGT